TACTACCTCCTACTCTCCCTTGCTGTTCTCATTTACTCTCTCCCATTCACTAAGACTTTAGCTAACAAAACATTCTTTCCAATCCAGCTTATAAGGCTGTTCACATGGCTTAGAATTTTCACAGTTTTATCCCAGTTACAAAGCACATGGTTGGTACTCAAGAAATATTTGCTAAGTGAATGAGTGAAGAAATGAAATCTGGGCCACAGTGCAGGAGGCAAACTGAGGTCCAGTCTCATTACCAGGCACTGATAAGGTACAGGATAGGCTGAATCTCATCCTTGGGTGATGACTATTGTCCCCATTTTATAGTGGGAAACTGATGCTTAGCAGTTAAATAACTCACTCAAGATTACAGCTAGTAAGACACGGAACTGGGCTTTAAAAATCCATGTCTGACTCAACAGCCCACATTTTTTTTTTTTTCCGAGGAAGAGCCAGCCCTGAGCTAACATCCATGCCAATCCTTTTTTTTTTTCCCCAAAGCCCCAGTAGATAGTTGTACGTCACAGTTGCACATCCTTCTAGTTGTTGTATGTGGGACGCGGCCTCAGCATGGCTGGAGAAATGGTGCGTCGGTGCGAGCCCGGGATCCGAACCCGGGCCGCCCGTAGCGGAGCGCACACACTTAACCACTAAGCCACGGGGCCGGCCCCTCAATAGCCCACATTTTTAACCTCCAAAAACCACTGCCCTCCTGAATAACAGAGACTGCAGTTAAAAGACAAGGTTTTGTACAGCTCGCTGCATATAAGTATTCTAAATAATTTTCATAGCGCTGACAAGTTGATTTTTGTCATGTAGCAGCAAGGAATTCCCAAAGGAAATAGAAAACTATTTATTCCACAAAGAAATAATTAAAAGAATATAGAGAAGACAAAAACGTCCAAAACATCTATTTCCAGATTTTTGGAGTATCACTGAATATAGAGCTATCTTTTTTTTTTTAAAGATTTTATTTATTTATTTCCCCCCCCAAAGCCCCAGTAGATAGTTGTATGTCATAGCTGCACATCCTTCTAGTTGCTGTATGTGGGACTCAGCCTCAGGATGGACGGAGAAGTGTTGCCTCGGTGTGCACCCGGGATCTGAACCCGGGCCACCAGCATCAGAGCGCGCGCACTTAACCACCAAGCCACGGGGCCGGCCTAGAGCTATCTTAAGAGTATTTCTGTACAATAGGATTTCAAGAATAGAAAACATCTGAGGTAGGGAGACAATTCTCATGCAGATAGATCTGTGCTGCATTCTCAATTAAGGGTCAGCCAACTATGATTCATGGGCCAACTCTGACTGACTGTTTTGTGTATGGCCCATGAGTTAAGAATGTCTTTTACATTTTTAATGGTTGGGAGAAAAATTCAGAAGAATAATATTTCCTGACACACAAAAATTATATGAAATTAAAATTTCAGTGTCCATAAATAAAGTTTTATTGGAATACAGCCATGCTTATTTGTCTATGTGCTGTCTATGGCTGCTTGCATGTTGTAGCAGCAGAATTGAGTAGTTGTGACAGAGACAATAAGGCCCCCCAAACCTTAAAATACCGACCATTTGGCCCTTTACAGAAAAAGCTGGCCAACTCCTGTTATAGATAATTTCTTCTGACGTATCTTCCAGTTCACTAACTCTGTCTTCAGCTGTATCTAATCTGCTACTAAATCCTTCTACTGAGTTTTTAATTTTGGTCACTGTATTTTTTAATTCTAGAAGTTCTTTGTTTTCCAAATCTAATATTTAACTTTTTATAGTTCCCTATTCTATGTACATAGTTCAACCTTGTCTTTCATTTCCTTAAATACAGTATATATAACTGCTTTATAAACTGTGTCTGGTAACTCCAATTTCAGAAGTCTTTATGGGTCCTTCTCTGTTGTCTGTTTTTCATGGTTCTCACTAATGGAGCTTTGTTTCCTTGTGTGCTTAGCTATTTTTTACTGTGAGCTGCTCATTTCCTTGAAAAGTTATTTGTGAAGAATTCATATGTCTTTCTCCAGAGAGGATTTGCATTTGCTTCTGCCAGGAGCTTGGAGAAAGTGCCAGTCTGGAATACCTTAAACTGAGTTCATGGGTCACCTGAGTGATGAGAACTCTGGCTGTGAATATCAAGTGTTTCTGTTTTATTAACTTATTGCCCTGATCCACTCAGAGCTCTAGCAACCTTTCCTGCAGTCCTGGTTTGGGTGCGCAGGTTTAGTTCTAGTTTATCCTTATGCTGAGTCCTTTGGGGTTCCAGTTTAATGTGGAAAGGATCAAAGATGGAAAATATGGAAGAGAAGTTAATAGAACTAGAGGCTAGAATGAGAAGATCTAACATTTAATCAGAGTTTCAGAAGAGGAGTAGAGAGAGAGTGGGGAAGAGGCAATATTTAAAGAGATAATGGCTGAAAATTTTCCGGAACATATGAATTCTTATACTCAAGAAGCTAAAATGAATCCAATCAAAATAAATGAGACTAAATTCTTAAATTTATATACTTATTCATACTTTATAGGACTCTTTCTTTTATTCTTCATAAAACCTTAGCAAGTGGGTATTATTATCTACATTTTTTCATAAGAGAAAACTGGGATTCAGAGAGCTAAAATGATTATCTAAGGTCACGTAATTCTAAGCAGCAGAGGCAGAATTCAAATCCAGTTCTTCTGCTCCAGGGTCAGATCCTCTCCTATACATTAGAGATAGAACACAGCACAGCAGAGAAAGACTTCACAAGGGGGATCTGAACATTGCTAAGGAATTATCTCCCCCAAAACAGAATCCTTTACTTGGAAACTTCTCCCTAGAATCACATAAAAACCTTCCCACATATCTGTGCTTTCTTCTGAAGACAACATTGGATGGGAAAAGCCTTTGCAGGAAGAAGCAGGAAAGTTCTAGCTTGTACGTTAAATTGTGAGTTAAATCAAATGAGGCCAAGGCAATTCCCTGGACTAAAGACCAAGTTGACTCAAATGGTTCATGGAACCAGCCTGGTACACAACAGAAAGCTACGCAACAGCCTACTGTGTACTACCCAACGGTCAGGTCAGGAGGGCAGGATGTCCTCCTAATTCCCCTCCTTACACTGCTGAAGACAATTAAATACAGTAGTTAACATGTCCTAGATAACATGTCTTTTGTTCACCAACGTGATTCAACTTGGTAATTACTACATCTCTTCCGTTTTGGTGGCATTTCACTTGCTTATAGCTTATACTTGATTTGTTTTTTGCCCAGCGCACTAAATTAAGACTTTTCTAAGAGTGAAGCCTATGGTTTTCTAGCATAATCAAGCCTCATTCCCAGATGTTAACATGTGGTTGACATCTCTCTACTAGCTTGGTATAAAGAGCAGACCATTCTTCCCTTGTAGCTACCTCTATGATATGTAAAAGCTGGGAGAATTACAATGCCTGAACTCATAGTTTTGAGTTTCATAGAGCTAAGAAGCCAGATGCCAGGAAAAGGGGCTGCCAGACAATTCAGTGGGAAAGCCAAATACCCCAGATTTGATGTCTTGTATGTATGTGCAGCCATCACCATTAGAAGCAGCTGTGATCCAGGCTTCATGCAAGAGAGGAAAGGCAGGAGACACAATTCTTTTTTTTTTTTTAAAGATTTTATTTATTTATTTTTTTTCCCCCCAAAGCCCCAGTAGATAGTTGTATGTCATAGCTGCACATCCTTCCAGTCGCTGTATGTGGGACTCGGCCTCAGGATGGACGGAGAAGTGGTGCCTCGGTGCACGCCCGGGATCCGAACCCGGGCCACCACCATTGGAGCGCGCGCACTTAACCACCAAGCCACGGGGCCGGCCCTGGGAGACACAATTCTGATCTTTCATGTCTGTCTGGTGCAGGACAGGGGACACAGGTGTACAAAGATGACTAACAACGGAAAGGAGCCACAGGCAGTTTTGCAACCATGGGATTGCACATCAACCATGTGACAGGTCCTGTGCAGGGCATGAGCACAGAGTGGATAGAGCCCAATCTCAAGGCATCCTGGTCTAACAGGGAAAGTGCATAGTCATCCACCTATCATCCGTCCATGAGTCCATGCAGCCATCCATGCAGCCACGTGTTTAATGTTTACTGAGCACGTCACAAGTATATGCCAGTACTGTCTAGGAGCAAGGGAGACCAAGAAGGCCAGAACAGGAAAGGATTCTGGAAGGATTAGATACTATTTACTTGAAAACCCCTAATGAATTAAGCATTTCAATTAAATCCTTACAACAACACTGTGAAGTAGGTATATTGTCCTTATCTTACAGATGAAACGAGGCTCAGAGTGGTTAAGTAGCTTGCCCCAAATCACAAGAAGAGTAAATGGCAATCTGGGATTTGAACCAAGCTTGGCCTGGCTCTGAGCCTGTGCTCTTAATAAGTTAATAATGATTACAGTTAATTAAATAGTATAATGAGATAATATGTGACAGAGGTAGAAAATTCAGAGGAAGCATAGAGGAAGAGAGAATTTTGTGCAGAGAGGAAGTGGTCTCTGAGCTTTCCTCATGGACAAGCAAGGAAAGGGAATTTCAGGCACGGATAACAAGCATATGCAAAGGTAGAGGGTTTACCTGTGGGAGACGGACAGGAGTTAAAGCAGGAGACGAAGCCAGGGGCCCGATCACAGAAGGCTTTGCATGTCAGGCTGCAGAGCATCATTGAGAGGCCACTGCCTCCTGCTGTGACTCAACCATCCTCCACTCTGTAGCAGAGGCCTTTCCAGGGGCCTCTCTGTCCCTCAAACTCCTGACAGTGGCTCCTTCTGTAATGAGCTGCCTGTGCCAGCCAAAGCTAAGGCCTTATGTTTGCGCCCACAATTCCATCCTCTCCAGGCCTCTGCAGACTGTAATATGCTCCAAGATTCTGCTGACACACTGAGGACAGAGGCCCCAGGGAATTCTCCAACAACCTAAGGGGTGATGAGAGCTGACCCTTCAAGGTTGGACCCCAGCTCTTACAGATCTCTCTACCACAGAGTCAAGGAACTTTCTCATTCTACTCACAGTTTAGAGTCCAGCTTCAGGAGGAAGCCCAACCGATCATACTCTGAAAAAGAAAAGAAAAGTAGAAAATGTCACTGAAGTCAAGCCACTGCTGACACTAACAGATAGCATTCCCCAGACCTAGACCATGGGGACAGACAATTGCTTCAAAGAACAGATCCAAATACATAAGCCACAACTAAATTTAAGTCACAAAACTCTTGCTGAACACCTGTCTGTGAAGGACCAGGTTCAACACCAGGTATTTCCCAGGCCTTCTAGGCCAAGTAGTCCTATGCTAATATATAATTGCCTTCCTGTTTAAATGTGATACTTAAAACCGAAATTTAGTAAACCACAAAACTGGACCCCTGGAAAAGTAAGAGTCAGAAGCAATCTCTGCTTCCTCGAAGCTCTAAGCACAGTTCTCACTGAGTCAGCCATATTAACTAAGGGTAAAGATGTGGCAGCCAAGGGGGTCCTCAAATTCATGGCAACAATCCTCCTCATGACAATCACAAAGAACTGGTAGATCTGACCACATAAAGAATAGGACATTCAAAATGAAATCTAAAAACAAATTGGTTAAGATGTTTGCAACAAATGATAAATCATTAATATTTTATTTAAGTTCTTTCTGTCTAGCCTCATTCTAAAATGAAGTTGAAGCAGTTTTACAAAATTGTTTGAAGTACAAGACTTTAAAAAAGAAGAAATCTGGGGGCCAGAGGGGAAACAAGCACAGGAAAAATAATGAAAGGCAGCCAGGATAAGAAAACCAAAAGTGTGTGTCCTAAGATCCTGTGCGCTTGCCAGAGGAGGATTACAGATCTATCCCCGAGATTTTTCACAGCTAAAACTAAATGCAAAGCACTGATACAATCGTTTACAGTGTCCATAAAATAAACCAGGAGAATCACAGCTATTCCTGACACTAAGACTTGAAGGAAGTTTCCTCTGTGTCCTCAAAAATATTTGTACATGGAAAATGATAGGAAGTGTCATAAGATTGTTTCTTATAGTTTTGTTCAACGATTGCAAAGAGTGTGTGTGTGTGTGTGTTTGTGTGTGTAGAGTGGCTACATCAAAGTAAGATGGTCTACGAATGCAGTTCTCAGCTGGCCTGGCTTAATCTGAGGATAAAACAGAATACCAAGACCAAACAACTGGACGGAAAAGGCCATGCAGCAAAGCTTTCGAGGAACTCAGTCTTTACTAAGCAATGAATGGCCAAGAGAGGGAAGTTACACACACTGACAAGTACCTCACAGGAGCCATTCTGCAAGGCCAATTAAGGCCAGACGTGCGCTTTCATAAGCCCAGCTGAGCTGTGGTGAGAGAACAAGTCCTCTTCTTAAAACTGAAGATACCAACTAGGACACACAACTCAACAGAAGGCTTGCTTCCCAAGAGAATACGCTTGGGCAAGTGAAAGCCTTTCCTCAAAATAATTCTGGTTTTGCTCTAACTTAGATGAATGGATGAGAGACTTTGCTTAATATATCAGAAACTTATAAAAATCAGTAAGACAAACAAAGGTTTCAATTTAAAAATAAACTGAAAACAAAGTTTGCAGAAAGAGTTAGTTTCAAAGCGTAATACTCTTTCAACAATCCTATTCTATTATTCCACGAAAAAGAAAACCTCATGAACTTGCCAACACCTGTTGCTTTCCGCCATATGGTCATAACCTTGGGGCAACTATCCTGCTCCTGCTCCTCAGACCGCAGCAAAGACTCCCTCGGACGTACACCGAGTCCATGCTTCGGCTGATTCCTTCCAGAGAGGTTAGAGAATGTTCTCCCTTTGTTGCAAATTCAAATGTCAGGGGCCAAGCAACATCAACATCAACAAGGGAAGTGGGAAAAAGTGATACCCTCTTGCAGCAGCTCATACCACTTACTCTAGTTGCATTAAAAACAAATCCTGTTGTTGGGGCCGCCCCGTGGCTTAGCGGTTAAGTGCACACTCCGCTACTGGCGGCCCGGGTTTGGATCCCGGGCGCGCACCAACGCACTGCTTCTCTGGCCATGCTGAGGCCGCGTCCCACATACAGCAGCTAGAAGGATGTGCAACTATGACAGACAACTATCTACTGGGGCTTTGGGGTCAAAAAGGAGGAGGAGGATTGGCAATAGATGTTAGCTCAGAGCCGGTCTTCCTCAGCACAAAGAGGAAGATTAGCACGGATGTTAGCTCAGGGCTGATCTTCCTCACAAAACAAAAAACAAATCCTGTTGAAATGTCTTTTTTTCACCATATATTTTTGTATAGTAAGCATAATTATGTCTATGGGTTATTTTCCAACAGCATCTTAAGTGTTTTTTTTGCACACACGCACACTAATTGCATATTAAACATGTAAGAACACTTTGCATTTCTAAAGAAATTATGTCCCTTCCATAGCTCTCTTGGACTATCTGTTGTTTTCTCTTTTGTTAAGAGAGATGAATACCAGAAAGTTTTCACTTTACTTTTTATTTTAAGAAAAGGTAACTGTGTGAGCCCAATGATTATAAATGGCAACTGGTATTGGTTTCAGGTCACAGAGCCAAGAGGGAATGGGGTCCATCTGGAGACTCCATGCTCTGTCAAAGTGGGCAGCCTCCACCAGCTGTAGCTAACTATGCCAGGCAGCAATGCAGGCCCAGCACTGCAACATCTGATTTTTTTTACAGCCAAGAATCTGGATCTTTTAAGGTAAAATTTCTCAATTTGTAAATATTGGCAAAAGATTCAAGAAAATTTAAAGATTATGAGGATCAACCAAAATATGCCCATGGGCAGGATCCAGCCAGCAGGCTAACAGTTCATAAACTGTCAAGTTTATGCCAGTCCTAGACTGGCAGCTCATGAGGGCTGGAAGCATTTCTCTTTTGTGGCTGCACACAGTAGATGCTCAATAAATATTTGCTAACTGTTATTATCAGAAGTATTTAGTCACCATGGTCATAAATCCAAATCAAATCAGTCTAACAGGATGCTAAAAAGAAAGTTTCAGCCTAGCATCTAGGATGATAAATTTCAGACACTAAAGTGATGTACTAGACTAAGATGCAAATTTTCAAAGGAAATATCTGAAAACCCGTTACATAATTCTAAAGGCCCTCCCTACATACATAATTCTAAAGGCCCTCCCTACATCAAACATAAAAGTAACTGGTTATGAGAGATTAAGGGAGAGAGGATTTGTAGAATTTTTTTGGAGAGAGCAGTGTTATGAACCCCATCTCCTTTAAGGGGCAGAATGGGTAGTACTTGTTTCTCACTCAAGCCTGGCGAGGGAAGCTTGACACGTGACCCTTAAGGAATGGGGCAAACAGCGGACTGTCAGGTGCCTGACCTGTACCTGAGGAGCCTAAAGGACACGAGATGGGCTGGCTGCCAAGGAGAGAGCTGCACTGGACCTGGCCTACATTCCCAGAATTTGTTGCAGAAAAGGATGCATGAATGAGCTAGTGTGGGGTTGTCTTAGGTCCTTTCCAAAAGATTGCCCAGAGGGTTGGCAAGTCCTCAGCAGACAGAAGCGGGGGCAGACATTGGGAATCCCAGGAGCTGCAGAAGGAGTGAGTGACAAGGCTTTGGTGAGTGCATTACCCACATCAGAGGAACTGCAGAGGAAGGTTCTCAGTTGGAGGGGGTCTCCAAAACGCCAACAAGAGCACTCCCCAAGAGTCAGCTTTCAACACTTGCCAGTTCAGAGAGTGCCAACACTATCTATGTCTTTTCTGCTTATATTCTCTCTCTTCCTTCCCCATCGGTTTCAGAGAGGTCAGAAATAGCAGCCAGCAATGGGGCAGGAGTGGAAGGAGAGACAAGCAGGGCACCTCCCCTGCCCTGGGCCAGGTGCCTGCTGGTCTTCAGCCCTAATGCAGAGAGGGAAGTCACTGTAGCTTTGGGTGAATTAAAAGCTATGACTATTACATAAGGCTGAAGGTTCTAATTCTGGAATTGGTGACTCAATGTGACCATGGGACTTTCATTACCTCAGAGGTATCAAAAAATTCTCTAGACCTCCCACACTGAAGGGGACAGGAGGAGACAAAATGAAGGTGGCCGTGATTATCTCCTGATGTTTCCTGCACGTTCAATATGCTGGTTGCACTAACTTAGGCAAATAGGGCAATTTAACGGTTCACATAACCAAAGTGTGGAGAGGGCCAGGGTGCAGAGGGCATCAGGGACAACTGAAAGTGACTGGAATGCCGTCAGGCCCCCTCAGTTAGCTGTCCTCTCCCCTGACTACCTTTCCTGCTAAGTTAGGAAAACGGCCACCAGCAACTTTCAGGTGCACGTCTTCAGCTTTGCCACTGAAAAGGGAATTCGACTCTGCTCTCTGCTCCTAATGGCAAAACTCCCAGGGAAGGGTCAGGAGTGGTCTACCTTGCATCAGCTCCTCACGCCTGTTCTAAGCACAGTGATCAAGGAGATGGAGTCTGTAATAACTAGGATTCCCACATGAAACACACAGTTAGAAGGAGCACTCACTGAAGGAATGTGCTGTCCTGAACAAATGCAGGCTCTCAGGAAGAGTAGGAAGTCTCTGGAAAACTTAGAGCCAGCTAAATCTCCCAGGTATAATAGGTATAATCACTGTTATAATGGGCCACGGACGTTTTTTCTCTCATCCTCATTTCACTGTGGGTTCTTTCTTCCCTGACCAATCTCCTTTCTAAATCTTTCTCATAATGCCCTCTGGACTCCCTATGCCAACCAACTGGCTTACCTCCCTCCGCCTCCTGGCAGACCTGAAGCCTGGCTCTGCCCTGTGAGGCCTGGCTTTTCCTGCAGCTCTCAAGGGAGGCTGCTTTTTCTCTCAAATGTGTGGGTAGTGAGGAGGGAGTGCTTATGATGTGCCATGGTATAGTTTTCATCATTTTTCTTGTGTTTGGGATTCACTGAACTTCTTGGGTCTACGAGTTTATTGTTTTAATCAAATTTGAAAAATTTTCAGCCATTATTTCTTCAAAAATTTTTTCCCCTCCCCTCTCTTTTGGGGGCTCTGATTACATATGTATTAACCTGCTTGAAGTCCCACCACTCACTGATACTCAGTTCATTTTT